CCTGCACCCTGCACTGCCCCGCAGCCTGCACCCCGCAGCCTGCACCCTGCCCTGCACTGCCCTGCACCCTGCACCCCGCAGCCTGCATCCCACCCCCTGCACCCTGCAGCCTGCACCCCGCAACTCCACAGCCCTACCTCCTGCCCCCTGCTCCCTATATCTCCACTGCCCTGCATCCAACCTCCACCCTGCACCTTCACTGCTGTGCATCCTGCATCCTCCACCTCGCACCTCCACAGCCCCTGCATCCCACATTCYGCACCCTGCATCCTCCACCCTGCACCTCCACAACTCCCGCAGCCCGTGTTCTTCACTCCTCACACTCCTGCACCCTGGCATCCTGCACCCCTGCATTCTGCACCCCYGTACCTCCACACCTCCTGCATCCCACAACCCTATCATCCTGCACCCCATATCTGGAACCCACATCCTGCAGCCCTGCATCCTGCACTTCTGCATCATGCAACCCACATCCTGCAGCTGTGCACCTCCACAGCCTTGCACCCCTGCATGCTGCAACCCTGCACCTCCATTCCCCTGCACCCCTTGCATCTTGCACCTCTTGCATGCTGCACCCCTGCACCCACACATACTCCTTGTACCTCTGCACCCCTCGGATTCTCCATCCCTACCCTCCTTTGCCGTGTGCCCCAGCACCCACTGCCCCCCCGTTCCCGTTGCCCTGCCCCCCTGCAGCCTTGGCAGCCGCGCACGCCCRCCGCAGTCCTTGCACCCTGCACCCGGGGCGCCCCGCACCCTGGGCAACCCTCGTGCCAGGCACCCTCCACCCTGCCCAGGTCGTGCTGGACGTGTGATCGGCACCTATCAGTTAAMCAGCAGCTTCGGGACAGAGGGGAGACACCAAAGTTTGGGGCCTGCCAGCCCATGGGGACATCTGGGTACGTGGTGCAGCAGGGGGGCTGCGGGGGCCCCAGGAACACGGCCTGGCACCCCACGGGCAGCACGTCCTTGAGCCCTGCTCACTGCTGTTGTTTGTTTGCAGCGAGGACTTGCTTTTCCTTTTGGACTCGGCCCAGGGAGGCGTCCCGGAGCCGGGGCGGAGGACGGCGGCTGTTCCCCTGCATCTGGCGGCAAAGGAAATGAAAAGCCCGTCCAAAGATCTGTTTGGGATGAACTCACGGTCCCCGGGGCGCGTTGCTGGGCCGGGCGGCTGGCGCGGGCCGGGGCCGCCAGCGGCAGGACGCTCCGCGCCGGGAGCGCAGGGCATCGGCAAGCGCCCGGCCCCGCTGCTGCCAGCGCTCAGCGCGCCCAGGGGAGACCCCGGCACCGCACGGCTCCTTTCCCGATGCGTGAGGAGCAGCTCCAGCTGATGCGAGCACAGGTGCCCATCGCCTGGATCACACCCCGGCCCCAGCCGGCGCCCAGGCCCTGCGTTTGGAGCGCTGCAGGCTGCGGGAGAGGCAAGGCTGCTGCGCGGGGGCCCGCAGGACGCGGGGGCTTTTATTCCTTTTGCAGGGAGCGGGCTCGCAGACACCCCAGCGCTATATGGGCGAGCCACGGGTGCGCTGCGGCGGCCGGCAAGCCCGGTCAGCACCTCATGCTGGGAGCTCCTGCCCCACATGCATTTGGGGCAGACCGGGAGGCTGCCGCGGGCCAGGCTGCTGCCAGCCGGCTGGCTCTTCCCACTGCATCGGGACAGCACCCACAGCACCATGCTGCCCATGCAGGGACACGGGCCCTTCCAGGGGGAAGGAGGCAATGGCAGCTCCAGGAAGACGTTGCAAAAAGAAGCGCTCTCTCTGCAGCAGGCAGGATGCTTCCCAAACCTCCCGGCTTCCCTCCCTGTGGAAAACAGGCTCGAGAAGAAAAACGCAGGAGCGTCCCAGGCCACTGGCGCTGCTCTGAGCCGTAGGGGAGTTGACGAGAGGTGCTGGCCAGGGGCAGCGCTGGGGTTTTCCAAGCAGCCTCCCAGCTGCAGCTCCGGCAAATCCRGCTCCCTGCGCTGCCCCGCAGCCGGCACAGGCAGGCAGCGCGGAGCCGCGCGGAGCCGCTTGGCACCGGGGCTGCCGGCGGCCGCGCCGCTCTGCACAGCCGGGGAAAGCAGAGGGCGGCTCCAGCGGCCCGGGCAAGCTGCCAGCTGCGCCATCCTCGGGAAGGGCGCGCGACGGCGCCCGGGCGGCTTCGCAGGGAGCGGCGCCGGTTTCACCCCCGGTTTCACCCCTCTCGCTCGTGCCCCCCGCGTGCCCGGAGAGGAGCGGGTGCCTGCGGACGCGCCGGGCGCCGCTGCTGGCAGCGCTGCCGCCTGCCCCGCTTAAAGATTCGCTCGGTGCTGGCCCTCGAGGTGCTCGCCCAGGAGGAGCCGAGGGTGCCGGCCCCACGGATTTACTGCAGGGCTGGCAGGGGTGGGTGCCCAGCCCTCCTCCTCCTCCATCCCTGCCTGCTGCCCTACTCCCTCTGCAGCGCTTAGCCCAGGAGCTTAGCTTGGCGCTGGGGCTGGGCCAAAGCCGACCAGGCCACCGGGAGCCACCGCCCTGGGGAGTGTCGGTGCTGGTTCCCGGCCACGGCGGAGGCAAGCTGTACTTACTGGGCTGCTTTTAATATCCCCTCTTAAATCACATCTTCCAGCGCTTCATCCCTCCTGGCTCCTGCTTGCTGCATTCCCAGCAAACGCTTTCATTCCGCCCTCATTTCTGCCCAGCCGCAGCCCCAGCCCTGGCCGGGCCCTGCTCCCGAGCGCGGCCACCCTCTCGCTCCGCCGGCTCCCCTCGCACCTTCCCCACCGTGTCCATCCTCCCGGGGGGATCCTGTGCACCCAAGGAGGSTCTCCAGCTCCCTGGCTCCTGCTCCTGGTTTCCAGCCGGCTGCAGCCCTCCCTGCTGTGCACCCMACGGGCGCGCTCCTCTGTGCACAAGCTAGCACAAACAGCGGGTGACGGCAGYGCGAGCGGGTGCCACCCCGCGCCCCGACGGGCACGCGCCGCTGCCGGGCACCGCTCGGGATGCGGGAGGCTCCGGGATGGAGATGCTCCCGGGGCTGTGGATGCACCGGGCTSCGCTCAACGTGGAGCACTGCCCCCAAGCGACAGCGCTGCTCCGAGGACACACGGGCTGCTGGGGAGCGCCCCACGGAGACTTTGTGTCCCAGGCAAAGCTGCCCCATAGAAGCGAGGGCCGCTGCGTGGGACAGGTGTGGGGAGGAGGGCCAGGCACGTCTGCATCTGCCCTGCTCCGCTGTGCTTTGTCCTCGGGGCCCTGGAGACTGTCTGCAATCCCCGGCTCTCTCCAGCTTCCCCAGCCCGCCTGCAAGTCACGGATGAAAAAAAACCAGCAAAACATGCGAGGGCCCCGAGGGGCAGGCTGCTTTCCCAGYGCTTTTTGGAGAGAAGGGGCCTCGACAGCTCGCGGAGGGCTCCCAAAAATACACACAAGAACGCGACCCTGCCCGGGGGTCACCGAGCTGGAGGGAGCCTGAGTGCTGCAGCGCTCGCCCAGGGGCACCTCGGGCCCGGCGGCACCGCCAGGAACGTGGGCACCCCTCCTTGGGCACCCCTCCTTGGGCACCCCTCCTTGGGCACCCCTCCTTGGGCAGCACGGCACGGGGCACCGAGCTGGGCCACCCTGCTGCAAAAGCCCTGGCTGTGGCCGACGGCTGCAGGCCAGCACATTGACCTCGTTAATTAGCGATGGCTAATGAGGCTGGCCTGAGCACGGGCACAGCTTCRTCCCACAGGACCAAGTACATCCAGGGGGACCCCGGAACCCCGTATCCAAAGCAGCAGAGGGGCTGAGGCCCTGTGGGGACCCCTCGTATCCACTCCTCCATCACAGGATCCAAGCCACACCAGGCACCTCTCCAAACCTTTATTGTAGCAAATCCCAAAAGAGCCAGGCGGCAGCGGGACAGGGGCGCAGCGCGGGGGCCGCGGGCTGCCCCGCCGGCCGCGGCGCAAAGCGGGTCGTGGTGGTGGTGGCGGGAGAAGGGGGCATCTGCTTATAAATAAGTGACGACAAAACGAGCCCTCGCGCGGCGAGGGGTCCCCAGCGAGGGTGGGCAGCGTGCGGCGGGGCGGCCGGAGRCACGGGCGCCCGTTTCCTTTGAACACTGAAGCGTGGATGAGAGGGCGGGCGCCCCGGCGCGGGGGCGCCTCTAGGGCTGGTTCTTGGCCTCGGGGTCTTTGTCGTAGATGTAGCTTCCCACGGCGCCCGTGTTGACTCCTGCAAGGAGAGGCGCGCGGCGGGGAGAGGCGCTGCAGGCGCCTGCGCCCCTGCCCTGCGCCCCGGCTGCGCGGGCGCCCCGCACTCACCCTTGGGCCCRAAGAGGATCCCGTAGCAGGGCTTGTGGCAGTAGGGCTGCCCGTCATGCTGCGCGGGAGGAACATGTCACGGGGGGGAACTGCACCCCATGCGTGCCCGGGGTGCCCAGCGCCCATCGTGGGTGCTGGGGTGCCCCGCGCGTCCCCGTGATCTGCCCATCCCCTGCGGAGCTGCCGCCTGCGTGCGCGGGGCTGCGCGGGGCTGCACCGGCGCTGGGGCTGCGCTGCCCCCTCGCGGCACCCTGCAGCAGGGCGGGCGGGCGGCACCCGGAGCGGCCCCACGCGCCCTTACCTCCGCGTGCCCCCCCGGGGTGAGGGTCTTGCTGCAGCGCTCGCAGCGCAGGCACGGGCGGTGCCAGTCCTTCCCCAGCGAGGTCACCTTCTCGGCTGCCCACAGACAAGGAGGCGGCAACGTGAGGCCACCGCGTGCCCCCGACGTCCCCGCGCCGCCCTCCCCATGCACCTTACCAAAGTAGACCCTCTTGCCACAGCGCGGGCACATGTTGGGCTCGCCGGTGAACGTGGTGACGCTGGAGGCTGCCAGGGGGCAGGGGTGAGCGCCGGGAAGGGCCCCCCGGCACCCCGGGGTGGCAGCACCCTCCCGGCTTCGCTCACCTTTGCTGGGCCCCTTGGGCGGCGCGGCGTTGGCCTTCCTCTCGTCGGTCCTCACGGCGTGCTCGATGGGGCCGGGCGCCGCCTGCCCCTCGATCTGCGGCTTCTCGTAGATGTAGGAGCCGGCGCCGCCGATGTTGACGCCTGCGGCGGGGCGCAGCGGTGGCCCGGGGCCGCGCGCCGCCTCCGTCCCGCTCTGTCCCGCCACCCCGCACTGCGCGCCCGCCGAGGCCGGGCGGGYGGCGACCTACCTTTGGGCCCAAAGAGCGTGGCGTAGCAGGGCTTGTGGCAGAAGGGCTTCCCGTCGTGCTGGGGACGAGAGGGGCGACGTGAGGCCACCCAGCCAGGGCACCCCAGGCCGGCCCCGCGGCGGTGCCAGGGGAGAGGAGGGTGGGCGCGTGGGCAGCGAGCATGGGGCTGCGCGCGCTTGCAGGCGTAAACACGGGCGCTGGGAGCCCGCCTGGGCGCCCGCCCGCGCTCCCCRCGGCTGGCCAGGGCAGCTGCTCCGGGAGCAGCGTGGGAAAGCYGGGAAGGGCCCGTTCCAGCTCCAGGTGCTGCCAAGGGGGGCTTGGCTGCATCCGCCCCGGAGGAAAATCCAGCCTTATATGGAGGCAGGCACGGCAAAGTGCCCCGGCCGAGCGGCACGGAGCTGCCCGAAGCGCCCAGCGCCGCGGCCCTGCTCCCCTGCTCCCCGGCCAGCTGTCCTGGCCGCGCTCAGCTGTGGCGCGTGCCACGGCGGTGCTAAGGAGCTGGTGACAGCACGGCACGAAAGGCACCCTGCGACACGTGGGGCGTGCGGCGGCCCCTTGCAGACGTGGAGCGCTCGCCGCCAGCCCCACGCGCTGCCCYGGCCACGGGCACAGCGGCGGGTCCCCGCCGTGGGGCTGCCCTGGTTCCCGCACGGTCCCGGCGGCGTGCGGGGCCACACGCCGGGCAGTAACTGGAGAGGCRCTGGGTGAGCGCCGAGCGGCCGCGCACGCGTGCAGCCCGTGCTCACCTCGGCGTGCCCGCCCGGCGTCAGCGTCTTGTTGCAGCGCTCGCACTTGAGGCAGAACTTGTGCCAGTCCTTGCCCAGCGAGGACACCTTCTCGGCTGCAAGGGAACACAGGCACAGCTGAGCTGCCGGCCCCAGCGCCGCGGCCGGGATGCAGCCCCCCGCTCCGGAGCGGCGCCGCTCCCGGGGGCGCCCRCCGAGCGCCGCTGCAGCCACGGGAGCGTCCTCCTTCCTACTCCCTGYGGCTATTTTTACCCGCCGCGCTACCCCGAGCGACCTCGCGCCGATTCAAATATTTTGTGTTGCCATGCCCACCCCCACCGCGCCCATTGAGTCACTTCTCAGCCGCTTATTCACATCCATTCCTCCCGCCGCGCTGCCTCCGGCTCCTCCGGGCAGAGCAGCGSATGGAGCGGAGCGCGGCCCCGCGCCGAGATGCAGGGGGGTGTCAGGAGGTGCCTCTCCCTGGTTGGGCTGCCACCAGGCTGTCCCCTCACGTGTCCTCGCTGCCGAGGAGCACCAGGGACGCGGCTCGGGGACAAGGGCGCCCTGCCGGCACCACTGACGKGGGGCCTGGAAACCTCTTGCAGAGAGGGCAAGCAGCTCCACGGAGGCAAATTCCTGCAAAGCTGCCCCCRGGAGCAGCAGCCCTGCAGGTGCTGATGCTCCTGCAGGCATCCCCGCGAGGAGCAGCGCCCCGCGGGGCTGTCCCGGCTGCACGGAGACCTCGGCCCGCGTTCGGATCCAGTCCCCTTCCCTCCAGCTCGCTCCTGCAGAGACAGCTGGAACGCAGCATCGCTCCATTAAAACCGCCATAAAACAAAATCACAAGAGCCAAATAAAACATTTTAAAGGCAAATAAACGGCGGTCCGACTGAAGCGCGGCCCGGCACGGGGAGCTGCAGCTCCCGGCACCCCGGGGCCTCCCCGGGGGCGGAGGGGAACCGGAGCGAGCAGGGCKGCGGGCCAGGGCAGGGCCACGCGGAGCCTCGTCGCTCTCCCGCCCCGAGCCAAACCCCGTCCCGCAGCCAGGCTGGAGGGGACATCCTCCCRCCGCACACGGGCTCTGCGGGACGTCACAGCCCCGCTCTGCTCCGCGGCTCCATTGTCTGGAAGCAGAGGAAGCAGCTTGGAGCGGCCCCAGCCCATGTCCAGGGCACCCACGTCCTGCTCCCATTTGCRCCGCCCTGTAAATCAGTGCCTGGAAAAGCCCCCGCGGCCACGTTTCCTGATCCCAGCCACAATTCCTGCTCCTGGCCACGTCTGCTCGCRCCCGCTCCAGGGCCGCGGCCCCGGCTTCCTGCGCAGCTCCGGCCCTAATCCGATTTTCCGGCTGGCTTCCTGAGGGCGGGAGGAGCGGCGGCGCTGCCAGGGCGGGCGCCTGCGCCGGCCGAGCGCGGCGATGCCCCGGCTGCCGCGGAGCCGCCGCCGCAGGGCAC